CTGCTGGTGCAAGAGAGGCAGGAGAAGCTACAGCTAGAAATACGCCTCCGTACAGAGATCTGCAATGAGATGCTGGAGGGCATGCAGCAGAAGGAGCAGTGGTGGAGGTACAGCTGAGGCTGATCCATCTCCCTGTGTGCAGGGTGTGCTGTGGTGCCAAGGACTATCAGACCCAGATGCAGACAGTTGTTTGTTCTCATTGTAGCCAACACATTGATGCCCAGAAGGAACTGCTGGAGGAACTGTATGAAGATAAACTGAATAACCTGAAGGAGTCACTGACTGACTATTACCAGGAAGAAATCCAGGTTTGTTCAGAGGGATGGAATGACATCGGGAAGGTGGCAGGGACTTGGGGGTACTTAAGTCCGGGAAGATGATGTTACACAGACTGAAAATAAATATTTTGGGTGTTTTTTTGTGCTGTGTTAATACATGATAACTTCATCCACAATTCTTGTTAATTTTCATTTCTTGACTATTCTGTAGTTAGTTGGACTTCCAGATTTTTTCAACCCTTAATCTGGGAATTAATGTGTGATCATTTTTATTCCTTTATTAGTCCAACATAATCCTTTGTCCCTTTATTATTTTTGCTAGTGGCTTGTCTTGCAATCTTCAAATTAACACTAGTGCTCTGAATTTCTCTTAACTGTAGTTGTGAAGGGTGCAGGCCTGTCTGTAGTTCTCATCATATGAGACTGGCCCTCTCTGAAGATGCAAATTAACATGTGTTGTAGAGAGGCTGGAGAAATAGTTTAGATTCTCAAGAAGTGGTTTCATATCTTCAGTTAAAGTGCATTAAATGCTGAATCCAATGTGTGAATGTATGATGGAGAGTGTCTTGTGGGGAAAAAGGCCCTGAAAATCTGAGGTAACAAAGGCTGTATTAAGAAAGCTGTTTAATTTTTGAACGAACTTGCTTCAAGGAGCGTGATGAGAAGATTGAAGAGCTCCAAGCTGCTCTGCAAGAGGCAAAACAAAAACTGGATGCTAAGCAAAGGGACTCAGAGCAAGGCTTGCGTCGATCAAAGCGAGTGGCTGCCTCGTGTGCTCTGCAGCAGGAGCTGACAGATACTAAGGCCAAACTGGAGCAGTGTCAAATGGAGTTGAATACAACATCAGCAGGTAAGGCAGGCTTATCTCCTAGTTCAAAATCTAAAGTTCACTTGTGTAAACCGGAAGCCTGGAAGCCTGAGCTCTTCTCAGTTTGTCTGTTTCAAGAGCAGTCCAGACTTTAAGAAAAACCTAATGTTCTGTGAATGAGCTCCTGCTCACTCATTTCTGTCTGTCCTTAGAGCTGCGCAAGTACCAGAGATTACTGGAGCCACCTCCCTCTGCCAAACCCATTACTGTGGATGTAGACAAGAAACTGGAGGATGGACAGAAGGTAACTCTATCTCTGTTAGAAACTTGCATAGCAAAATCCTTGCCAGTTAAAATGTATTTGGAGCTGCTATTTTCAAGTCTTTAAATGGTTGACAGCATTCTGAAAGCAAACCTTGAGCACAGATGTGGAGGATGCTGGTGTTACTGATCCCACTGTACCTCACTCAGATCTCCCTCAGTGCTGCATGTCTGGATTGTCTCAGAGCAGCCTTGTTTCTAGAACAGTGTTAATACAACAGCTTGCTTTAAATCTCTCCTGCAGAATGTGAGATTGCTGCGCTCAGAATTACAAAAACTTGGGGAATCTCTTCAGTCTGCAGAGAGGGCATGCTGCCACAGTACAGGTGCAGGGAAACTTCGAGAAGCCCTTTGTACGTGTGATGACATCCTGGCTAGACAGGTAATGTGTTGTCTCTTGTTGCAGTGTGGTATATATGTACTTTGACATAAGCAGCAGATAGTTGCAGCTACAAGGATCTAGGTCTATAAATGTCTTATTCTCTAGACGTGTAAATACCTGTTACTTCAAGGGAGCTATACTGTTAAATCTTCTCAGTGTCTGAGTCATACTGCATACTGAACTCTCCAAAGGAGACCCAACTGTTTCTGTTCAGCCACCTGACAGCTTGCACTTACAGCAGAATTCAGAGTTCCCATTCCTTTCTCCACTGTGCTCCATCACAGTTGCTATGGCAGCATGCTTACAGCAGGATGGATTCTGTTTTTCCCTTAGCATAACTGTTTCCCTTTTGTTACTGAACTGCTATAGTGGTGACAGGAGCTTTTTCTGTATGGCCTTACTTAGCATGCTGGTTAGTGAAGTTCAGCAGCGTCTTCAATTTATAATAACCAAGGAGTTGCATTATTGCATTTCTACACATACTGCTTTCCATTTTTCAGGACCAAACTCTGGCAGAACTGCAGAACAACATGATGCTGGTAAAACTGGATCTGCGGAAGAAAGCAGCTTGCATTGCTGAACAGTATCACACTGTACAGAAGCTCCAGGCTCCTCCCATGTCTACTCTAAAGAAACGGTTCTGTGCCAACAGGGAAAACCTACAACCTAACCAACCTCCTGGCAAAAAGCCCTTCCTGCACAACCTTCTGACACGTTCAGCTCCCCGTCCTGCTGCTACCAGGGGGTGGCAACTCCGCTCAGTTGCTCTATGACTTCTTGGAAAGGCATCCCTGCCTCCCCATTACTGGAACAGGTGGCACATCCAGTATCATAGCTTCTCTTCTTCTTTGTGTGCTTGTTTATTATTGTAGCTGCTTGAGAGCTTATGTAAACATTTCTGCATATGTATGGTTAAAAGTTTTAATTGATACCAAAGTGGACAAAATGACCTTCTGTAATTTAAACACTACAGCAAGGAAAGATTTTTAAATATCAAACAGTGCAGATGAGCAGAGCGTGGTTTAACAGAAGGACCAGCTAAAATGAGTTCTCTTCAACTGCGTTGGTACATAAAAATAAGTTCACAAGATCTCCTTGTAAGATATTCTCCCTTCCTTGAATTATAATCCTTTATTAAAGTATACACGTTCTAGTTCAGGGCTGTTCTCCTGGATCTTTGCTTGTAAGTCTGGCTCCAAGCGTGTTACAGACATAGAACTGAGCAAAAGAAACAAGTAAAATGGTTATATACAACAAGCACTTGATTCTAAAATAAGACTGAATCTCTTTAAAATTCCTGGGTTCTGAAAGTTTATAAAGAAGAATTGAGAACTCCTCATAAAGGAATCATGCTCCACCTATAAGCAAAGGACTCCCCCATTTAAGAGGTGTTAGAGATGTTCCATACCTTACAGGAACAGCTGAGCTCCTACTATCATGAAGGTAGGAAGCAAAGGAGTTGCTTAAGGTTGTTCTGTCATTAGAAGCTTCTCTTCATTAGGGTGTACTTCATAATCAATGTCTTCTGCCTGTTTTACTGTCTGATTTTATTTTGTTAACGTTTATTTCTGAGTCATCACACACAAAAGTGAATTCAGCTGCCAGATCACATAAACAGCTGCAATTTTCTAAAGCAGTCTGAGATCTAATCTTTCTGTGAAGTTGAGAGCACCAGTTAGAATCGAGCTACTGTGGTAGAGGGGTGCTCTGAGTTTGGTGCTAGCTGGTTTGCTAGCTGTCTCTGGGTAGATTTTAGCACAATCCTTTTCTATGCCAGGCGTGAAGACAGCCAAAACTGCTTTGTGCTATTCAATTAAATCAGGTGAGAATTAGGTGTTTTGGTTTTTTTTGGAAGTCAAAAGCTACTTCAATTGCTTCTTATTTTAACCAATTCAGCTCCAGCTTGCATCTTTTAAGCTACATTTGGCAGCTTGTCAACTTGTAGTTCTGACAATCACTAAATAATGAGCAATAAGTGAGTTGAATACATAAGACCCTGTTTGTACTACATACTGCAATTTGAGTTAACTTCAGTTGGAGGTAACTCAGCCAGATCTTATTCTTATCTCAGCTGTGAGGTTTTTTTGACAGGTTTTCATACTGAGGAGTTTGTACTGATGGGGGAAAAAAAAATCCCTTAAGTTGCAACTAAGCACACCCAGTCAAGTGCTGTTCTCTATAACCAGTTTCTAGCTAAAAATGAAGTGGGATCTGACCATTCTTAATGAAGCCATAACCTCAGTGGACATTAACAGGTCATGTAGACTGCATTAATAACAATGTTACTCATCGCTACCTTTCTGAATATTCTCATGTTTATCATGCTATATGAATATTGAGACTGTATGCTCTGGGAGGCAACGACAACTTGTGTCTCTTTGCAGTATCTTGCATGTGTTGAATGTCACATTAAAGAAAGAATAACGTAACAGGAATACGTACCTTTTTTGAGGAAACAGTGCACAACACAGAGGAGTTGCAAACACAAGGCTAGAGAAGACAAAAACAGGTTTACAATGTTGAGGGTGCTAAAAAAAATTGAAATTTTACAGTGTAAGCACACAGCTCTTTTGTTTTTGTTTTGGTAGGATGGTGAGATAAGGTTCAATGAAAAACAACTTCATTTCTCACTGCATTATACTGCTGAAATCCTTTGTGTATTAAATGCATAAGCAATACCCATTCATCTGATGTCCCTGCAGTGCTTTGCACTGGTGTTCGTGCAATGAGGTGCTAAACAACAGCAACTGCAACCTTCCATTAACCAGATGTTTCAAGAACTCAAGTTCAGTATTAGTTTACTTAGTTTATTGGTTATGGAGGTAGCAGCTGAAGTATCTCTTTAAAAATCAGGTTGTTTACGCATTTCCTGTCGCTTCCTTTCCTCTTCCTTACCCCCTGCTTTTTTTTTGTCCACTTCTTTAACTGCTTCCTTTTCTATGGTATTATCAGCCACAGATGTAGAAATGAAGAGCTGTAGTCTTAATTTCTCCAAACAGTGGAGGAATGTCATTTCTGAAGCTTATCTGTATTGCTTCAACATACATAGGTGTTTTTTTCTAATCTTTATACAAAATGCAAATGCTACTTTCCTCAAAAAACAACCCCTGAAGTTATGCCCTCAAAATAGCAGACAATCCAAAGAAGGCACTCACCAGAATCCGACTAATCCAACTTGAATAGGAGCACTCATCCATGGAAATCTCTGTTGAAAGTAAAATATAACACTGAGTATGCTATCTTTTATTCCTCTTCCCACCTTGGAAACTTGCACTGGAAGGGACAACCTGCACCTAAAAGTCTGTTTTACATGACAAAAGGAAAACGATTACCAGCATACCTTAACCTTGAGCTATGGCTTGAAAGCCTTATCCCAACCTCTTTCAACTAGCAAGAAAGCTCTCAGTGATATCAGCTTACACTTATTCTGAGCATCCCTTAGAAACTACAGTAGGTGACCAACTGTTTTACTTTTGAACTGATCCTGACCTGAACCTCTGTGAGTCATTTAAGCCCACAGTAGCTAGCAAGTCGAGTGGCGCTGGTGGAACGTGCTGGCAGACCTGAGGGCACAGGGAGTTTGGCTGTCGCTCTCTCCTCCACACCATCAACTGGCTTTAACTCACAACTGCCACTCTGCCTTGTGGGCAACAACCCATTGCACCTGCCGACCAAAAATGAGGGAATTATCAAGGAACTGATTGCCCTTCCTCCTGTCTTATGATACGTTACGATATGATGCGTGGGAATTTAACTGTTAAGCACCCAGCCTCATACAGCCATGTTCTGCAAGTGTTCATCTCTTGTTAAGGAAAAAAAATAGAGGGACTGGGGACAAAGCTGAGAAAGCACCCCATAATGCAGACCTTTTTTTTAATAGCATACCCTTTAGTGTTTTTACTCTTGCATGTAAACCAAGAAAGGACACAGTTTTCTTGTAGGTCTTTGAATGGTTCAAGAAATCCCTCCCCTAGCCCAGGTTAGAATTCTAGTTGAAATTGCTAATGGAATAAAACCAAATCTCTTCAAATACAGTTTCTACGTTTTGTTTTGTTACTGTAAAATCATACTGTAAAATTAAATACTGTCTTTAATAAGCAGAATGTATGCCACAAATGCTATGATAAGAAGCTGATTTTTAAACAAATGAGCTAATGAGTAAGAATGTGTTATGGTGGGTGATGTTCTCAACAATGGAGATGTTCTCCTGCAAGGGGCATTATTCAAGATGTAGAAGTTACAGGGGAAACCAGCGAACAAAAGACAGGCAGCATCTGACAGGTGAGATAGAAGGATGAAATTTAGAAAGCTCAGTGTGATAAAGCTGGTGCTAAGTAAGGTCTAAGCAGTGGTAAGCAAGCCTGGGTACGAAGCTTTCTCCAGAGTCTGAGAGAAAGAGGAAATGATGTAGAATACACTGATCCTCTTTTTTTCCTTCTTTCTGGTGTTAATCTGTAATCCAGAAACGAATGCAGAAAGAACTTCACAATTCAGCAATAAACTGCAACAATAGGTAGTAAAAGAAAAAGCAACAGTAAGAAGGGTAAAGACTGAATTCAGCTGTGCTCCATTGTTCTGACAACGCACTAAATAAACCTTTGACTCTCACTTGAAATGAACTACTCAAAATACTTTAAATTTTATATAGTGGGAGAGTTCCAATGGCAAGAGACTCCAGGCTGACAGGGGAAGATTGAAGTCATCATTCTACCTTTAGTTGGGAACACAAAAACTCGGTAAGGTAACTGGCTCCTTCATACAGGGAGAATTAAAGGAGAGGGATGCTGAGAACTGCACTGCAAGATGTGTGAAAGAAATAAAGAAATGCCCCAAACACTTCTATAACCAAAGAGACTTTAAGGGCGTCCTGATTTTGGTTTCAAGCTTTCACCTGAGCTGGTCATTATTGTGAAAAAAAGCCTATGAACACAGACAGTACTGACACCCATTTCATTTGCTGGAACACATTTTGCCAAGGTGCCTGATCTGAATTATAGCTTTTCTTTTTCAAGAGTTTTTCCAGATGGCACTAATTAAGAACAATGGTAAGGTAAAAATAAGGTGAAACACTGATACTAGAAGGTCAACGGCTGCCTAGAGAACGATTTAAAATAATAAAGCCAGTCTCAAATGCAGGCTGCACATCCTTATAAAGAGAAAACAGAGAAGTACAAGACAGCAAAAGAATTTATTCTGTTAGAAGATGTATTTAAACAGGGAAGGAGGCAATTTCAGATGAATTAGGATTTAAATTCCAGATGACTGCAAGGCATCTTTGGCAGTTAGTGCAAAGAGAAAGTAGAGAAATGATAGCAAACAAAATGGAGAAATGGAGCAAGCAAACAAAAGCCAAAAAGAAAAATCAGTTTTTTCTGCTGCTTCTACTGTGAGATCTCCAACGGTGTCAGCTCTCTCAGGGTAGCTATGACTGTTCTGAAGGAGCATCACTACATGAAACAACAGCTAAAGAAGGAAAGCATGGAATGAGCTATGGTGTAAGACATTCAAGAATGATATTTAAAAGAAAAAAAGGCTGTTCTAGTTTTCTAAGAGCTCTGAATATGTATTTTAGTTACAGACTAAGAGACTTGAAGTTTCTGAAGTCAATACAGTATGCAGAACCAGAGAGAAACAGTCCCCAAAGATGTGAGAGTGGCAAAATCAATTAAAGCTTCAGTTTCCCTTGGGATTTTCAGACATTTTTATGAGATAAATGTTTTATTTCCCATGGGGAAAGGTTATCTGAGACTAAACAAATCTGTAAACCCTGTCCCTTAGAGCAAGGTTGCTTATGGGTCCTTTTGCTGCAGCAAATGTAGCAATGATTTGGTTCCACATGGAGCTAGTCAATAAGTGCAGCATACAGCCTCATCATCGAGAGTCACTGCATTGCTTAATTCCTCAAAATGCAGTTAAAGCAACTGCAGAAATCAAAGGCAAAAGGAGTGTGTATGTAAAACCAAATTTTTAGGAGTTTTCTGGTCAAGAATTAGGATTTCTTTAACCAGCAAGTACATGTTTGTATTTTAAAAACATTTTTAAATCATTTTCTAGCAATAATTTTTGGGAATACTGTAAGCTATATTAGTGCTATAACTGAAATGCAAAACCACGTCAGAAAATGGAAATGAATAATACTACAGACCCTACATCTTATTTTAAAGATCAAAGGATGACCCACTGCCATCACTGAGACCAGCAGTAATCACCTCTACCTTACTGGAGAGCATTGCTGTATGTTCCTCATCATTTAACAGCCTTTTGACTTTCCTGGCCCTGCATGTTGCTTTAATAGGCTTTGGCAAGCTTACAAGAAGTTTTTTCCAAGAGTGCTGATGATGTGCAAAGCAAAGACTAAGAAAAATGAGTTAGTAAAGCTTGTGTGGATGGTGTTGGAATACTGCAAATGGGATGGTGCTTCCGAAACCTCGAGAGAACAGGCAGAAGCTGCTTGTTAGAAATGCAGCTCATTCCTTAAAGGCTTTAATACTAATCTCTACCAAGTGTTACCACTGATGACCTGTAGAGCAGTGTTTCGCCTCTGCTCAGTCTTTGAGGCTGTGGGGGAGGAACAGGTGAGCATGAATGGTCATGATGGTACCAAAGACCACTGAACAGTCACTGAAGAAATCACTCATTTTTGCTGATCTGAAAAATTCACAACACTCTTATGTGACACCACACAAACAACAACAGATATTTGTCTTCAAACCCTGAGAATTTTCTCAACATCTTCACAAATGTCACATGTTTCCAGTTGACTTGATGGCATTTGTGTTAATAATGTTCAAATAATGCATTCTCAAGGACACAGCAGTATCACAAGCCACTTAAAGTTATTTTGCCAACAGAGGGTCAACACCTATGGAGCCCAATCACTGCAGGGCTCCTTACACTGCAAACAAGTCAGTGTATTTGGATGCACTGCAGTTTCACTTCTTGAACGAGATAAAAGCAACAAAGACTGTAACTCTAAGATTCAAACACCACATTTCCTACTTTTTATTCTGAGCAACAGTGTTTTCTGTTAACAGGAGCAGGGGGAAAAAAAAAAAAGCAGCAGAAATCTCTTCAGGAAAACAAAACTTTTTTTTTTTTGCAATTGGGAGACACCTAGGATGTTTTCCTAATACCCCATTTATCTACTAATGCACAAGCACTTTAAATGATGCATGTAACCAGGTTATCCAACCACACACAAGAAGTGTGAAGAAATCATTTTAAGTATTTTAATGCAATATTTTAGGAAGTTTCATCATAGACAAACCAATAGAAATGGGCAATTTCCTCTGCTCTCCCTCCCAGCTGCTGCCCAAAGCGCTTTTCCAATGTAGGATTTGGAAACTCTGACCTAACAGGAAGGAAGCAGATCCACTTAGGCTATCACTCCCAGCTTGCCCAGCATGTTTCCCAGGCAGAGAGTTTGTCTGGAGCTATGCAAGCAAGTAAATCAGTGACATCAGCAGTCAAAGACAGAATTCCCTTTACTGCTGAGGACTGGTCCTGGCTGCATCTCCTCATTTAAAAATTATTTGTCCAGATCTAAGCAACTATATAATTAATTTCATTATTGTTCTTTACCATCTTATGCACACACAGTACCATGCTGGTTAGTTTATACATTTGCAGTACCAGATTTGACTTCACACCACTGGAGCAGCAATAGAATTCAGTGAAAACATCATCTTTGATGGCACACACACATCCCACATCTACCCCATGCTCACACACCCAGATTGTTTTAAAAGATCATTTGAAAAAGGCATTTTTATCATCACTATTATTTCCAAACTCAAACTGCTACCACGGCAGCAAAGCAAACTTCCTTCCAAGATATTTGGGGGGGAAGAATTACACAAGCTTTTACTATTTTTCAGATAAGCTGTATTCCAAGTCCTGGTAAGAGGAAAGTGCCTTCACTAGAAAGAACTCTGCATTTTGTGCATAACCACCAGAATAACAAAATAAGTAATTTCTTCATGTCCTTTAAGATTAAAAGAACTAAGATACCTCTATTTGTGAAAGACAAAGAAAGCAGCTCCTGTAAAGTGCACTCTACAACAATGTCCTCCAGGAGTGCTCCGGAGGAGAATACCAAGACTTAAAGTATTTTAAATACATGAAAATATTAACTTAGCATGTGAAATACATGTACACAGTTTATCTCAGACTAACCTTTAAAAAGGCTCTCTTTTCCAGTGTGTTCATTATGAAGGGAGGAATTGCTGCAAATGAGAAAAAAGATAATGCATCAACCTCGGAGATAAAGGCACATGGATTTGATCTTCTGTATAGATGAACTAACACTGGAATTCAGTTTTCACAGCTGTCTGTCATTAACTGAGCTTTCATTTCATACTGCCATTAAGAGATACTAGATTTCTATTGACATAAGTAGACTCCTCCAGTAAGTGGAACGTCTAATTTCACAGGTAAAGGTAAATTTCACAGGTAAAGGTAATTAACCTGAGCTCAGTGACTTGGCTCATACCTTCAGTAAACCAGTTCCACTCGAGCAGGATTTGCAATGATTCCTTTGCTAACTGCATGATTTCTGCACTGTTCTGTTGCACATCAGTGTAACATGCTGTGGATGTTTTTCAGTAAGAGATGCAGACTTTAACTTCAACAAACGTAAATACTATGTGCATAACTGTAAGATAATTGGGCCTCTAAGAAAATCACTTCCATAGAACTTCAGCTCTCTGTCACAGTAGGAACTTATAATCAGGAGCTGTATATGACTGAACTTATTCTTACCCATGCCAGGAGCAGCCATGAGGATCCTTGATATAACCACCTGAGTAATTGCCTGCTGAGCTGCTTTTGTTGATTCACCCAGTCTGTTTCCATTCTCATCTGTGATGGGGATTCCAAACTTGAGTTCCCTGTTGAATAAAAATAATACAACAGAGACTGACATGCATTTATCTGCTTTTGCTGGTCACGTTTCTCCTCTTTAAAACTTTTGATTGGAAGAATTATTTTATTATTCACGTTTGGAGCAAAAATTTCAAAAAGCAAAGAAAGATTTGGGGCAAAATATGCTAAAAGTAAACTGAATATTTGTCATATCAGTCTGACATCTGAGCCTGGCCTCATGTATTCTGAGACCTGTTGTTTCTGTAATACACAGAAGACAGAGGGTTCTTCAAGAAAAATCAGAATGAATAGAATTTCCTGGACTGCTCTTAAAGTAGTCTGTCCTTTCCTACTTACAACATAGGGAATAAAAGCAGATTAGTTTCATTGAACTACAACACAATTCTCTGGCATTCTAGCCTGGGTTTTCATTTCAACCACCAAGAACATATTTGGAAGCATACCAGAATGCACAAAGCAAACTTCATTTCTGTATCTGCACAATTGTCTATCAAAGCTTTAACACAATTCTGCACTTGAGCAAAGCTCACATACAGGGGAAAAACCTTTCAGAAAGCGAGAAGCAGACAGAAGGGCAAATACTCTGATGACTGCCTTAGTTCTTCTTCCCATCATTTATAGGAAAAAAAAAAAAAATACTACCATAGATTCGACTTCACCATGAACATAAATATGAAAATATTCCCTTTTTTGCTCATAACCTTGTGTTTCTAAGAGGATGGTTTTTCCCTCCCTCATTTCTATTCTTACTTCTTGCCAAGTTAGAATACATGTGAAACTTTGTTACTGAGAAAGTGCATGTTTTTGGTAGCCTCAGAAGATCAAACAGAACTCTGACTATAACATATCTAACTCCTGTATGTGGGATTTGAAGCACCACCTCTGAAATGATTACACTTTTCCAAAGCGCAGCTTGTATCGAAAGGGCCCACGTGATCAAGTCTTAAAGGACAGGTACTTCACTGTTGAGATTCAAGGCTGAAGAACTAAATAGGTATTTATCTGAAGAGAATGAGAACGTTCTATTTACACGTGTCACAGTCAAACAATTAAAACAAGACCATGCCCAAGGCTTTTGCAAGGTTCTGAAACAAGCTAAAGATAATATAATGTCCTTTTTTCAGCACCTTGCTGATCTAAGAACTCAATAACATCCTTTCTTTTAGAATGAGCAATTTTTTTTGTCTTTCCCTACCTTTGTCTCATTAGTGGAATATTAATGCAGTTAGCAGCAGCAACAGCAGCAAAAGGAACAAACCGTCCTATAAGAGGTGAGACATGCTGTGAAAAGCAGGAAAAGAAGAATTACATAATTATTTTTTCCAAAGGTCACATCAAAATGCTTCACTCGTTAATGACAGATGAGATTTCCTTTAATTTAAAGTTCAGTGAAAAAATCCCTGGTAAGGCAGAGGCAAAAGAGACACAAGTAAGACTTAAGTCATGGAGACAGGCAAAAACCACCTGAATTCAGTTGCATCATTGCAGACAAATGCCAGCTTCTGAGCACACCTATCAGCTTGATGGCAACACTAAATAGACTTTAACTTCAATATCTTCAACAGCAAGGTTACAGCCAGCAGCATTTCTAACAGCTGCTTTGCACCTAAGGACACTCACTGCATGAAGCCATTTATCTAGTCAGCGTCTCGTATGATCCGAGTTACTCTGCCTAGAATAGTATCTCTCAAATAAGGTGTCAGTGCTGCACCATGCCCAATATATCAAAGCATAAACTGAGGGATATAAAATAGTTTTTTTTTTTTTTTAAATAAACATGCTGCATATTTGTTTGAAGAATTTGAGTTTTCCATATTTAAGAGAAGCAGCTCTTCACACACTCTTCAGCCAGTCCAGCGTAGACTCCCATGTTTCCAGAAGTAATGCTGTACATTAAAAACCAGGCAAGCTGCACAACTGTGTATCAGGTCTACGTCACTGTAATTACATCCACTGCAATTAACTTTCAAGTGCTGCTAGATACTTTGAAACCTTGAAAGAAATAGCAAAAAAGGCACCTTCATGGGATACATATTGTGAATGAAAACAGCAAGGATAGGGCATTAAAAACAAATATATATATAAAATCATCTATATGGGGCAAAAGTAAGATTGGGAAATCAAGAAGGGAGCTGCCAAGGGTAATTACAACTCCATGAGGGAGCTGTGCACAGCATGACAGAGCCAGAGGAGGGGAAGTGAGCCATTTCATAGAACACCAACATCTGAATAAGAATGGAAAAAGTATCAGCAATACCTTTGTTAGTGCATTAAGTCCTAAAGCTGTCGCAACAGCACCTGTGGTAGCAGAAACATAGGCTGTTCCCAGCTGGCTAAAACAAAAATAACAATGTTTGTACATGCATCACAATTATATCCATGCCACTTTCAAAAACAACTTTCACACATGCATTAAGTTCCTTCCACCTACAAAAGTTAAAGCATATCTTGTTGCAGCAACACAGAAAGGGCTAAGGATGGAATGGTCACATGAAACCACAACTCAACCCTTTTTCTTCCACTATCAGTAAAAACAACAAGCAAGTGACATTTTAACTGTGAGCCAGGCTCCAGTGATTGTGCACTCAGGTATGGCATTTTCTCTTATGTCTGAAAGAGCACTTTGAAGGATTTCTAAGGTCAAACTCACAATAGCATTTGAAATCAAAAGTACCAAAGCCCATCTGTGTAGACCAGCTATGCTGCAAACACCCAAATCCAACCCAACCAGCCAGTCTGTATGTCCTCTAATCCACTGCCTTCTGCCAGACACCTACAAGAAAGAGAGCCTCAGAACTGATTAAGACCCTAGATTTTATCTTTAAGGGCAAAAAAGAAGGTCACATTCATCACTCTCAAGCTTCTTGACTATACATACTGTAATACTATAATGGGGTGATAATAGCAGGGTGACAAAGTCTTCAGCTACAGCAAATGAGAACAAGCCCAAACACAGCAGCCACAGATGCAGAAATGAAGGAAATGAGCTGCTTACCTTTGGAAGACCTCAGGTAGGCAGGGATCTCCAGCAAGAGATGCCCTCACCTCCACTGCCAACCCTTAAATGAGGTCTGGGAAAGGGTGCATTGCATGCACCTGAGCTCCCCTGGGTTGGCCCTGCCTTCCCACCAGGTGCTCAATCACTGCTTCAGGCCATGACTGAGCATTTCCACTACACAATACCAAACTGATGATAAATGCAGATGAACAAACTTATCTACCATCTCAAAGACCAATCATACTCCAGTCTACGAGAGAGAACCTGTGAACATATCAGAAGCATCTGTTCAGTGTCTGACCTGACTGTAATTGGGGCATCACCGCTCCTGTTTGTGTAATTTACTATAGCATTGAAGGACTGGTTAATCCACTGCCAGAAAACCACTGCTGGTGTCGTTCTTGAAAAAAAGAAACAACTATTAATATTGTTAAAAACAGAGTTGAGTCAACAGCAGAACAATGTTGGTAAATCAAAAAAAGCCTCTGCAAGCAGTAATCATACAGTCCTTGGATACCTGAATAAAGCAGTTCGGTCAAGGAGATACTGTCTTAATAATGGAAGTGCAAGTTACTTCTAAGAATCGGTTTTAAAAGGCATTGGAAATGAATAACAGTTCACCTGGGACAAAGGTTTATAATAACAGCAAAAGCATTGTAGCAAACCTCTCTACAAAAACATACAGAGGAAAAGAATGAAACTCTACAAGATCTACAGTACTTTTCCAGATTTAGTCCTCTGCAGCTCACTCCCTTCCTTCGGAAACTCCGTAAGTGACTGAGAAATGCATTTTAGAGGCAGGGTTTACTTTCTCAGTCTTCAAAAAGTTACTGTGCCCCTAATTGTTCTAATAAATCTCTGAGACATTATAAGAAGGAAAAGTGGGATATATGGATTAGGTGAAGCATCCAAGAGCATATATCACAGCTGCTTCCAGAGGAAACCAATAGTCAGTGAGGGTATGAGGGAACACAGAGAGAAAAAAGAAAAGGAAGTAAAATTTTATATTTTAGAATATTTATTATACATCTTCTAAAATGCTCTTTTGACAGTAACACTGACTTTCACTTATCTAATTTGTAGGGAAATGTTTCATGTGTTACACTGCCACTACTTACCTATAAAAGGTCATCATACAACCTGTGATAGTCATGTTCATGGGTACCTGAGCTGACATTCGGCCAATCAAGACCATCTTTTCACCAGTGTCTGGATGAAAGGCTGAATCATAGATATACTTTGCTCTCCACAGTTCATTTTCAGTCAATCCAGGTGCTACAATACCTTGTCTTGGAACAAATTGAAACCAACAAAAGAAGACAACAGCAAAAAGCACAGCTGTTATAAACATAAAATGCTGCAACTTCCAGTGAAAAAACTTAGCATCAGAGGAAGCTAATTTAATCTAGCCTTATAGTCAGCTTGTCTTCAACTATTAAACAAATTGGTGAAACAAGAAGAATTAAAACTCCCAGCAGTGGTTGTGTAGGCTGAGTTGACAACCAGCATCAAAGTTCTGTTGACTCAAGCCAGTGCTGCATCTGAGCTGGAATGGACAGCTAAAACCACTAAGCATGAAACTCTGGAAATTTAGCTTGATTTACTAGTTGATTTACTGCCCCAAAAATACATTTGAAAGCCTATTTTAAACTGTTGTTCTATTGACTATTTTCAGAACTAGACACTCCCACATTTTCAAATGCTAAATAGTTCTCAGATGACAATTCCCCCATTCATTAGTAATCTGACAGCGTTTCAAGCTCTGAAACAAGACAGAAGAGTGGTGCAATAAACACAGGGTCTTAAATATTTCCTTTTAAACCTATAACAGTGATATTCTTGTCACTGTCATGACTTTTTGGGCCAGCACTAAAAGTGGCTGTCATACCTGTAATCATGCACGATTTTTCTTGCGCTTTCCAGCTGGGCATCAGATAACAAAATATTTCGGGGGTCTGTTACAGTGAAGAAGTGAGTGGCTCGCCCAATGAAAGTGCTTTGATCCCATCGGGGCTCCTTGATATTAATATTTAACGGTAGATCTGCTGACATCTTCAGAAACTCTGCAAAGAAAACATGAACGTTTGCAATTCAGAATTCTTATTTCTTAGCATGTCTCAAACTGAGAAAACCCCACAGTGAAAAACAGCTTTAGTTGCAGGAAAAAAAAAGAGAGACATCTTGCAGAACTGAGCTTTAAAGGAGTACAGAAAGCAGATGATGTCAGGAATCATCATAGTTTTTATGAGATTGGTATTCATACAAGAAAATAAACTAACTTAAAAATTTAAACATCTACATTTTTGGGCTTGCTTCCCAAAACATTTATACATTTCATGCTTTCCTGTAAGAGTATGATTATCTGAGGATGAGTAGAATGCAAAGTATGGCAGCTCACTAAGAAGTAGATGTACTAATTAACAAGATATTAAAGAGAAATTTGCTTTACTCGAGTGATGAATTAGTGTTAGCTGAACACGTCATAAAGGGAAATTAAACTTTTCAAGAGATGCCTGAAGCAGCAGCACAGGAGCATTTAACAGAATGCACTTAACACCTCTGGCATTGCAAAGCAAAAAAAAAAAAAATTAGGATTACAAACATCAAATATTTTCAGTAAATGCTGTTTCTCCAAATCCATGTTCTTAGAAACAAAGATTACATAATGCAACAATTTGCCACATTATGAACACATGAGCAGTTCTTCTAATGATACATCAAGGATGGTAACAGACCCACAGTGACAGGCACCAAACTAACACAGCTCTGCATTTAGAGGGCTTGAAGCCCAGAAAATTAAAAATTTACTTCAAAATGACTCTGACAACTGATCTTTACCTCCAACCAACAAACCTAAGGAATGCCATAAGGCTCCTGAGGAATTGGTGTAAATTTGGTGAAACTTGTATGGTGGAGAATGTGAAAAGGAATTATCAGAAGAAAGGAACTGAGGATGCACAGCATCTTCATCATTAAAAAAACAAACAAACAAAAAAAAAAAAAACAGGGAAAAAAGGAGAGAATATTTGTGAAACTTGAAGAAGTTGTCCATCCCTCAAATGTAATTATGATCCCTCTTCTTCTGCATTAAGTGGAAAAATCTGTTAGTCACAGGAGAAGAGAATTCTACAGAAATAAAGGCCTAAATGCCTGTTTTGCTCTATGCCACATGCCTATTATGTAAAGCACTTGGTTTTCCAATATAATTGGATCACAGAATGGCTTGAGTTGGAAGGGCCCCCAAGGACCATCAAATTCCAACCCCCCTGCCATAGGCAGGGCCACCAACCTCCAGATCTGGCACTACAGACCAGGCAGCCCAGGGCCCCATCCAGCCTCCAGAATAGAGACACAGCATGACAAAAAACAAGCAAATCAGACCATCTTCTGGACTAAAATGGTGACAGCTGCAAAGGGCAGGGAAATAATTCTGAGAATACTTCCCTATCAGCTAAGTATTTGCAGGACAGTCTGTTTCAATATCCTTATAATTAAGTTATCAGTTTCATTAGGAAGGATTAAACCCACTTAGGACAGCTTATGTCAATCTGTTTAAAAGTGTCCAAAGAATGCTTAAAAAAGCACTCCATAAAAAGAAGGTCCTTGCTTTCCTTTCACACTGATCAGCAAGTGCTTTGTGTATATTACTGGGTAGTCTGTGATTTGTTTTTACTGCATACCAAACTTCTGCCATGAACCCAAATCTAAACAACAAAGATTAATTCAGTATAATTTCACTCCAAGTCACTCAGCCTGCCCTGATGGAGGTACATCTCCAGAGAACAGAGAAGGGAAGCACAGCCGTGTCCTATCCTTACCCCCAGTTAAACTGACCTGAGCACATCTGACCTTGCTACCACCACACCATCCTCCTGTGTGGGCATATCCCAAGGAACAAGATACTTTCACGTGGCTGCACGGCAAGGGTTAGCATGGCAGCAGCAAAAAGGAAAACACTTTGACAAAGGATCCTTGGCATTTGCCACAGCAAAAGTTTATGCTTGAAATCACTGTGTCTGTTTAAAAAGATGACAACAGGAACAAAAAACACTGACTTTGATAGGACTGGTCTTGACAAAGGTAAGGCAGAGCGCATGGACTCCAGTCTCACTGGCATTCACCCAGAAAAAGATTTGCTCTTGTGCAAAAAGAGATCAAAGCCTTGGGTGCCTACCATTCAGGAACACAACATTTTCTTCTCAATCACGTGATTCACACAGCTGACTTGCACTTTAATACTATCAGTAGGCACAATGCTTTTCTAAGTGAGTTTCAAGTCATAAAGACTCTGTGCATGGACAGACCACAGTGCACACACAAAGGAGCGGATGCTGTCCAATCAAGGAAGCAATAACAAGTTCCAGACACTGGAAAAATACAGTTTGGTGACACACAAAACTTGCATTGAAGTAGAAAGGTTGCTGGGTCTGTTGGTCTCGGGACTCTGAGTCACTGCTCTGCTAGAGTGCTCCTTGTCTAGGAGAGCCAGGGGAGTTCTGCATTGGAAACGTACATGACTTCCAGCAAAATGTTTTTAGCATACCATCACTTGTGTCAAACAGTCCTCAATGTAAGTTAAGCATGTCCAAGATTTAAGCTCAAATTACCCAAATATTCATAATGAAATTGTGATAAGTAGTAGTAGAGGGCTCCGAGGTTAAATCAAATTAAAATAAACCCAAGTGAACCATGAGATAAGTGATGAGTTTGTGGAAGGGGAACATAAATGCACAAATCTTCCAGAATGAAAGTGAAAAGCTTTACTTTGTTTTACATACACTATTGAGTGCTAGGGGGCTGCTGCAGGCCACCTCTTTTTTGGTTGACTAATAACTTGAATTTATTGTTCCCACACCTATCTCTATTTGGTAAGTGGTGACAGGGGAGAACACCTGCAAAATAGGAAAACTGAATTAGCAGCACCTGAGATTTTAAGGTGGAAAGGTAAACACCACAATCACCCAATCTGGTCTGAATGCCCCTCCTCCTCAAGCAACTCCATTAGCAGAGGATTTGAGAGATGGCATTAATTAAATTGCAGAAATAATTCACACTTAAACAGGACCGTGGGGTCACATTCACAACACAGGAGGATCAGCACCACATGAGTGGATAAATGACACGGATGACAACATAGCACAGTGAAGCACAATATCATGGAAAACGCACAGTAAGAAAGAAATAACATCTCTGCTGTTTCAAACGACTAAATGGGGAATATTGAACAGAATCAGATATACTTGCAAACCTCAATGTTAGCAGCACCTCATACTAGCAAATTAATCCAATAATAAAGCACCGAGAGTCCTCTGGCACATTCATGCTACTGCATTGCATTCCCCATTTCCCAATGCCACGAAGAATGGCTGCAGCGTCAGATTGTTGCAGCTGCTGTGGGCAGAGCTGTGCTCCTGCAGTTTGGCACTGCAGCTCCCCAGCACCAACACAGCGACCATCCATGTTTCACAGTGCAGCCATTTGTGCATATCAAGGCATCTTTTCAGAATGCTAACTCCAATCACGTGCTTCATCAGCTTCTCACATGGGAATGGCTGTGGCTTGCTGGAACATGCTGCCAGGAGTTCAGCTGCAGGACCAGCAAGATGATTACAGACTCTTTTGATTACAAACTCATCAAAATATTGAAGCTTTATTTATTCACAGCCAAAAATAAGGTTTTCCTTCATCTGCAGAGAAATTTTCAACTCTGTATTCTGAATAACCCTCTACAAACATCTTTCTTTGAAATTGAATCGCTTCTTGACCGTGTCTTTCAACTCCTCTTTCCAATCAGAAAGTGACCTTGAACAGAATGCCCCAGTGCTAAGCACACCTAAACCTGCTGTCCTTTGATCAGATGAAACTGCCTGCAAGTTCCCACTGTAAACTGACATTAATGGGAAGGAAAGAGGGCTTGGAATGAAGTGAGATTGGCCTCTCTTAAAAAATAATTACATAAAACCCACAAAAGCTTGATCAACAATTTTAGTACAAAGGCTGCATTTAAATTTGCTGCAGAATCAGCAGCAATAGCAGGAGACTTTAAACCTTGTTTAAAAGGTCAACAGTAGCAGTTGCAACAATCCTTAAAAATGCCGATTCAGGAGTTGTCAGTTCCACTCTGCAGCGTTCTATTTCCAAACTGCATTTCAGACAGCACACTGACTGCCACAGATCGCTTCTCACACTGCAGCAACAGTCAAAAGAGTAGCAAGGACCATCTGAGACAGTTTGGAGCAACCCAGACATTTGAGTGCTCATTTTGACATGGATGAAAAGAAACGTGGTTGAAAGCAAAAGATGAGGTTTTATAAAATGTGAACCCTATTTGTTTCTAACAGAGCACTTGAAGGACTCATAAACTAAGGGGTGAATTCAAGCTGGGCGACCCACACTCAGGCAGCAGTGCTCGAATGAGGAAACTGGCTTTGCTACTTTCCTTATGTTACTTATATCCTGTATTTTAACCCAAATCTTGAAAAAATCCATTCTGCAAGTGAAAAACTTCACCTGACACATCACTGATTTTTTCCAATATCCAACCTAAAGCTGAAAGTAGAGCTCTGAAAAAGGAAATTTCTTGATGACACAAGTGAGTATCCTGATGTTTCTGAAAGCTGTATTTGCTGTTCTGAGTCAAGAAGCATCCCTAGTGTCAAGATATCCATTCCTTGAGTGATGCAGACAGCTTCTGCCACTGCTCAGAAGAGCAGGGAGGTGATTCTGACAATGGCTAAAAGATAAGAACTGCCTGCAATTGCTGAGAAACGTTATATTGTTTGAGAGAATGTTTTGAGAGGTACTAGCCTGAAAACTCACCCAGAAATAGGCTTTCCTGAACAGATACAAAGGCCTGGATTTTCTCGAGTGGGGATCCTTTGGCAAATGCTCTCAGTTTGGATAGGATACTGCTTCACTATACAGAATTTGCTGTTCCTTTTTGGTTTTATGGGGGCCAGAGTCCAGATTATCAGCTCCAGTACCTTCCCTTATTTTAGTGGACTCTGTAAATGAGACTGGCCTTTCACCTCCCTTGCATGCAGATCCAGAAAGCAAGCAAACACCAAGCTGGGGAGGACAACAGCTTGAGAGAATAGAAGGCTGTGCCTAAAGCAGTGCAGGTGTGATAATGAACATTGCAACATCTCACATCTCAGCTCCTCAGACCAAATCATTTATAACATTACTTAGACATCATTGGACACGTGATACTCACAGAACTCAAAGTAGCCTTCGTAGAAGAAGAGAATAAAGTAGCCAACACAAACGCTGAATGAAAGATGGAACTTTCATGGTACCCTTTACCAGGACTTAGATCCCTCACTTCAGGCATTTGGGTCAGATCATGATTCACAAAATCTGCTAGGAGCTAAGTGCTCTTTTTTCAGAAAAAGGAGAACAAAATCCCTTTTCTTTCCCTCTCTGAAAACCGATTAAAAACAGAAGGCATCAGCAGTACCCACGTATCAGAATCCTATTACAGAATAGCTCTAAAGTTGGAGCCATGTGCTGCTGAAATCATTTGACGTGCAGATTCATGGAGAGAGAGAGAGAGAGAAGAGAGAGAGACAAGGTGCGACACTTTTAGGCTCCTAGATCTCCGTCCTTCAAAGCACTCCCGCAGCAGCTGGCTGTGAAAATGTCCTGTTCTGGGAAACAAGAGATGTAGGTTGGAAAAAAGCCTTAGGCTCAGAAAAGTACCAACTGCTACAAAATGGGGAGAGGAACAGCTCTCTTCTTCCTCTGCCTCATTTATAAATCAAAGCAACCACGGCCACTCGCTTGTTACTGCAGAGCTCAGTTCTCCTGAAGCACCTCTCATGGTGCTGTGATAGAAACTACAGAAAGATTCTGTTAGGCACTTTTATTCCTCCAATAACATACTGGCCCTTTTTAGGCCTTTGTTTCCCAAAGAAACCCAGTATTTTTGTTTTCCATGAGGAACACCATGAGAACAGTGGCTAGTTGGTTTAGGAGAAAAAAGAAAAACAGGAAACATACTTCCTCCTGATCAATAAAAGGTGACCCATTCTACTTTAAAATTACAATACTCTGGTAAAGCAACAGCAAAACAGCAAAAATGCAAACCCAGCTATACTCATATTTCAATTGTTCTGGCAAAGGAAGGAACACAATGAATGCATTCTCCAGGGATGTCAATCAAGCCAGGATAGTTGGAAAGCACTTCTATGTGATGGCAAAACAGCAGCTCTCAGACTTACCAGGATCATTAAGCAGTGGTATTCCTCTATTTGCACTATGCTTGCTATCGCAGTTTGACAGAAGCAGCACTGAGAGAAGTATGATGCAACACGCACCAAATGCTAACAAACACACTTGCAAAGCGTTCCTCCCCCCAAAACCTTTCCATCCAGTAAATACCTATTTAGATTACAAAAAAAATTTAAAAAAAAAATCTTTACACTACGCTTCTTCCTTCTGCAATCACAAGAACAAATTGAGCGCTGGAGAAGGCAAATCGTGGCAACGCTGCAAGATACTTTTTTGCTTATAAATGTACATCCTGTTTGTAGCCTAGCAACAGACGCAGCAGTCTGCGTTAGAAGGGTAGTGCCTGCTGCCGGGGCTCTCCTCAAAACAGCAGCCATCTTTGGCGTGTCACTTGGTGGGAGATTTCATCATTCTCTATTGAAGCCGTTTCCAGATGCCCGAGCTGCAGCAGCGCGTGCCTGCAATCTGCCATCTGTGCTCACACCGCGGGATGGATACCGCAGGGATGTGTCACACACCGACCCCTCCTCGACATTAAGAGAGAAAAAGCTAAGAAGGGTTAACTCAAGGTCTGATTTTGTGTCATTGCTGATTGCTGCGAGCTTGCCTCTACAGCTCTACGGTAAGGTGAGGTAGGATTATCAGGCCGTACCCAGACACGTTCATGACCTTCTGCCATAGCTTTTGTTACTATTGGATATATATATTTCCGATAGGAACCGCACAGCCAATTTTAAACTGCTACAAAGCCAGCCGTCGCTCCCTCCTGCTTCATCATTATAGCAACAAAATAAACACTCCTACTGAGAACCCCCGGCTCCCAGCCCTGTGACACGGCACCCGGCTCTGCGGGCAGCTCGGGGGTGCTGAGAAGGCGTGGAACCCGAGGATCCTCTTTCAGGAAACAGGGGCGAATTCAGGCTTGGGATCCTCCCAGAGGAGGACGGGGGTGGCAGAGCGGGCAGGGCGACAACCTCCACCCGCGGCCCGGCCCCGCGCCCCGCACTGTCGCTACTCACTGCGCCCCGCGCGCTGCCGGCTCCGCGCCGCCCTGCCGCCCGGAAGAGACTCGCGTTGCGCGGGCCGGCTTGAAGAGCGGCCGCCCCGCTCCGCTCCGCCCCGCTCCGCCCAGCGAGTCCGGGCGGAGAGCCGGGGTCGGCCGGCTAAGCAGTCATCTTGGGCAGTAAAACGAAGTGTAGGGCGTTATACAGCTTTGCACTGGAGACCAAGTGTAGTAGGAGGGCTGCAGGGATGCTCTCTGCCTTTGTGGGGAGAACGTGCGCGCAGGCTGAAGGGAAGGTTTGGCAGCCTGCAGCTCCTCGTGGCACCTCACGTGGAGCGGAGGGCGGCGTCGAGCTCTGCTCTCTATGGCAGCGACGGGGCTGGAGGGAACGGCGTGGAGCTGCGTCCGGGGAGGGCAGGTGGGGGTGAGGGGAAGGTCCTGCACCGGAGAGCAGTGGGCACGGAACGGGCTGCTAGGACAGCGGGCACGGCTCTGAGCTGCTGGAGATCAGGGAGTGTTTGGACAACGCCCTCAGACACAGGGTTTGGATTTTGAGTGGTCCTGTGTATGGACAGGGGTTGCATTCGATGATCCTTGTGGGTTCCTTCCATCTTGGGATGTTCTGTGATTTGGGGTTATTTGTGGCATTAAGGTGTCTGGCTTGAGCAGCTCCTTGATGGGACAGACCTGCCCTGCTCTGCTGGCAGCTCGTGGCAGAATGTGGCCTCAAGTTCTTCAGGCAGCTGAGGCTGTGAAATTACTTTCATAATTAACGGAATAAAAGCTTTTATTTCTTCTTGAAATATTATTGGCCACCTCTGTAGCAAGATGGCAGTACTCGGTTAGTGAACAAATTGGATCATCAGTCAGTTTAATAGGAACAACTTCAGAGGCAAAAGAACCATTGGCCCGAAGGCAACCTTGACAACAAAGATGGATGTTTATGGACTTTCTCATTTTCGTTACTCCTGCTTTAATAAGTATTGCAGAAAACAGCCAGCAGCAGGGAAATGCTCATAGGAAACCACAGTAACTGAACCCTTAGAAAAATAATTCACCCTCAGATCCTAATCCTAAAAAATAAAAATAGGGAAAAAAAAAAAGAAAAAAGAAAAAAGAAACTGTATTACTATGAAATTTCTTCCAGCTGATGAAAACTTTCTTGCATGTGGTGCCTTAAAAATGTCAAGTGAATGTGGATTTAAATAAATAAAAGGCCGAGGAATGGATCACAGAGTGTCTCATTCTTTTTGGTTATTATGGTCACTCCTCGTTTTCTCTTTGTACCATCTGATAGCTTCTCTGATGGTTATGAGATGTGCCGTCATTTGAGATTAAAAAAAAGGCTAGGGAAACTCAATTAGGCTGTTTCCATTCCTTCTACATCCCAGCTTCTAGATGAACACGGTGATAGATGCACAAAATGGATTGCTAGCTCATTTCACAAATCAATTAAAGCTCATTAGAGTCTCAGTTTGATAGTGTTATGATAGTTTGATAAGTCAGCAACATGTGAGCTGGTGTCATCCCCTATCTCACATTGAGTCTTTTGGGAATGGGAAAAGCGTGCTGTGATGGAGCTGTGTTACATCCCATGAATATTCTGCAAACTGTGCTAGGTTACCTTGTTGGTGTGCCAGAATAGCTCACCAACATGCAGAGGCCAAAAAACAGACACTCCATGCTCATAGACTCTTTGAAGTAAAATAAGACAGGCTGGAAGAGGCTGTGGTGGCTCCCAGCCAGCTCTGCCTTAGAGCACTGGGAGGGGAGGACCCCACGATGTGGGATGCAGCATATTGATCTGCAGCTGGGTAATACAGCTTTGTTCTTCTGAAGTCCTCGTTCCCTCCCAAAACCCTCACACAGACAGTCATATAGACTAAATCCACATGATTTGGTCAGTAAACTCAAGCATGTGTCTTCTTACACATTTTCATATGGACTGGGGTTAATTACAGGGTAAGTATTAATGGTACTTAAGGGAGCATATCTCTGGAGACTGAAATGGATGCATGAAGTCAGTGCTACCTTCGTTCCTGCTGAAGTGTTCCTTTCAATCGTCTTGTTTCCAGAAGACTCCTGCAAACCTTCAGGTGTACCTTCAGTCCTTTGTCTTTGTTGAACTACGTATGAATTTAACCCTCTTTGTGTTTCACCTGGAAGAATTTCTAGACTGCTGCAGAGCAAACCTTTCCCTATGCGAATTAGAGCAGGAACTTTTCTGTTTTTGTACAGCTGCTGCCTCATCTAAGAAATGAGTTTTACTGTATTCACTCTCTTCAAGCTTCACCGCATTCATAATATTTACATTGGACCCTAATAATTTTATGTATTTTGCCATTTCAAATTGGGGCTGGGAATCAAATGACAAAAACAGAGCTGCTGCGCACTGCTGTTATTAACACAGATATCCAGTAAGTGGCACTGCAGGACAAGGTTTTCTGCAGCCCTGTATCACAAACAGCAAGCATGGAACGTATCAAGATTTTTCTACTCCGTGAGAAAGGCAGTTGTACAGCGGGTGGGAAACGATGTGTGATGACGGCTCTGAAGGTGCAGAGCAAGGAGCTGGAGTGTGTTCAGCAGCTGGCTCTGGGGATGGTGTTAGGAACCAGCCTTGGCACCAAGCTGACTGTTATCAGAGGTTTGCCAGAAGAACCCAGCCACATTTCTGGGAACTGTTTTTAGCACTCACTTGATGGGAGGTGCGTGTGAAAGCTTTGTGCTGTGTTTTACTATCAGGAGCACAATAAGGGTGAACCATATATATAAAGCATTTCTTCTGCTCTGCTGACTTACTGTGCATTAATGTTATGCAGGAAATCCAAACCCCAGACTGGAAGGCATGTCAGTACAGTCTCCTAAATTCAAAGTCTGTTTCTGAACTAGAGATTTCTGTGAGTCCATGTCAGTATATCAAAAACCTCCACCCTATTTTCCAACAGTCTCAGCTGCCAAAGAATAAACTATTAACCAGGGAAAAATGGTCCAACAGATGAGCAACACAACGCTTTTTGATAACATAAATTGTAATAAGCCCTTATATAAACTCTAGTGGAGAATTACTTGCAAAGTCAGTTAAAGATTTTGGCTCTATTTATGGTATCTGAACCTAACTTCAGCTTACTCATGCTATATTGTGCCAAGCTAAATTGATGCATACCAAATTTTCCCCTTTACCTAGATGAAAACATGCACAGCTATGGCAAGCAAGAGGAAGAACGTGAAAAGCCATCCTGCATTTAGAAGGGGCACAGCACTACTTTTAAAGGGATAAACCAGAATTTCAAGAGGACTAGGGGCCATTTCCTCTGTGATGTGGTTATTCCAAAAATGTCTCCCATGGAATTGTCCACAGCCTGGAGCACTGCTGGCAGCAAGGCTCTCAGCCAGGCAGGCTGATGGATGGAGTATGGAGCAAGAGGAGGTGTGGGTCCCTCCTGCTTTAGCACCATCCCATGGGATGTCCCAGCTGCTTCAGCTGTGCTGGACAAAATTTTGATCATCCTTTAGGGACCAGGTATGCAGCAGCATCAGCTGACATGCACAGGAGCATGCCAGAACATGGAGGGGCATGCAGAAATGTGAGTGAAGAACAACGTGACAACACAACATGGGGCAAAATAAGACAGCACCAGACAACTCTGAATAGCATGCCATATTCTATTGCAGATCATTGGATCATTATGGTAGAAAAGACCTCTGGGATCATCCAGGATATCCCCAGCACTCCCCACCATGCCCACTGACCATGTCCCTCACTGCCACATCTATTTCTTGAACACCTCCAGGGATGGTGACTCCCCACCTCCCTCAGCAGCCTGTGCCAATACCTGATCACTCTGAGAAGAAGTTTTTCCTAAGATCCAGCCTGATAGCATCCAACAGCATTAACAGCATGGATCAACATCTCACAGCATGATAAATGTACCTAGAAAGCTGGTAGAAATACCGAGAGAGCAGTGAGAAATTCCTAGCAGCAGGAAAATTCTTGGGAACATATAGAAAGTGACAAGAGAACCATAGGAAACTCCTAGAAAGATTTTGGGAATTCCTAGAAAATTATAGGAAACTCTGGAAAAACAAATTTCATTCCTAGAAAGCACTGGGGAGAATCCTAGGAAGCAAAAAGTGAATTCCTAGAAAGTTGGCTACAAATTTTTGGAAAACTAAGAGGGCAATTTCTAAAAGGGAAGGGTGAATTCCTAAAAAGTAGTAGAGGAGTCCTAGGAAGAAATGCACAATCCTTAGAAAGCCATGAGAAATTCCTAAAGAGCGGAAGAGAACACCTGGAAAACAGGTTGGAATCACTAGAAATCGAGTACAGTTAATAGAAATCATTGGGATATTTCTAGAAAAGCATTAGGGAATGAGAATAGCTGTGCTGGTGCAGCCAAACCCTGATGTGTTCCAAGCCCAGAGCCGCTAAAACTCGCAGGGTTGGAGCGTGAGCAGCTCACTGGCTTTGAGGTCTGTTGTTGGCAACTGAGGTCCCTGATCTTGAAATGGATTTTGACAAATGGATGATAGGATGAAGGGAACATTTCCAGTCAGTGGAAGCATTGCTTGTTAAACACTGCTCTGGAGCTGCTGTTACAGCAACTTCTTTCTTTGCAACACAGGGCAGGGAAAAGCCAAGGACACAGAGGCAGGCTGCAAAGAGCCAGATATTACTGAATTACTGAGGTGAACCAGTTCTACTTGGTGCGACCAGACTGGCACAAAGGCTGGAACAGAAAAAGTATGCAGACAAGGTAGGGTGAAAATGAATTTGGGATTGTGTCATGGTTTGGGGTAATCCAGTCTGATCTCTGGGTGTATCAAAAGCTCTGGTCAAAACTGTGACAGGAGGAATAAAGAGACTAAAGCCAGAACCTTGGTTTGGATTCTTATTTTTCTACTGGCACCAGTCTGGACATTAGGACAAATTTATTCATTGTGAAGACAGTCAAACACAGATCAAACACTGCCCCTGTGCCTATCAGTGCTAAGAGGTATTTGGATAATGCTCTTCTAATAAACTTTAACTCTTGGTTAGCCCTGAAAAGTTCAGGCAGTTGGACTGGATGTTCTTTCAAGGTCCCTTCCAACCATCCCATTCCATTCCATTCCATTCCATTCCATTCCATTC